AGAGCTTTAAAAATTAAAAAGATTAAGCTCACGGTATTTTTCATAGTAATAGCAATAATAATTATATTATTTATATTTTACACTATTATTTACTAAATGTACAGTTTCAAATTAAATAGCTTTTATAAATGATACAAATTAATTTATTAGTAAACTATAAGTTAGTTAATACATACCAAGTACGCTGAGCAAAATAGTTAATAATGCTAGTTTAAACATGATTAATGTTTTAAAATTATGCAGGACACAATTTTACAACATTACACAAATAAACTGATTTAATCTAGTAGAACTTTCCAATTTATACAAAAATTATACTGTTATGCAAGATTTTATTATTAATTAGAATTAACATATTTTAGTAACAATATTTTGAAACTTATTTTCATTCAATGATTAATAATAATAAATTTTTAGATTTATGTTAATGTATAAAAGTTTGTATTTAGACATCATAATTTAGCATGATTAATCTTCACTGTGTTACGTAGTATCGTATGATTTATAAAAATAATTTATTTAATTAAGATAAAAATAATTTATGTAGTATACTCTGTATATGTAATAATATATGTAATAAGATTTACACATTGATTTTGTATAAATAATAATTTCCAAATTAATTTATATGAAATTTTTGAACTAGTTGACTCCAACTATATAAAATTGGTATCATAATATAATATTACCATATTAACTATACTAGATTACAGTTTAATATAATATATAATTTAAATTATTGTGTCTGGATTATTAAAATGTATACTAAAATTATTGTTTAGCTTATTAATAAAATTTAATTTATTTAAATTATTATAAAATCTAGATCATTATTTCATCAAGCAAATGTAATATTAAAAATCAGTTATTTTACAATAAATTTAGAATATTAATTCAATAATTTTTTTATTGCATTTAATTTTAGTATAATTATTAAATTTAATTAAATGTTTTATTAATTATAACTTATTATTAATTAATTAATTAATTTATTTATTAATTAGTTCCATAAAATAATTATAACAGTTATTAAGAAATTTAATTAAATTTACAAGTATAAATAATAATCAAATAAATTAAATATCTATACATGGATATAAATTTGCAATAATAATAATCAATTAATATGAAAAATGCAACATATTTTCATAAACTGTAATTATATTTTTAAAAAACTAAATACAGAATACTGTATATAGAAAAACAATTTATAAAATTATCTTGAAGCTTAACAAATCATCAATAAATATTTTAATTAATAACATGATCATATTTTTTTCTTTAACTATTTAATCTTTTTAAAAAATTAATTATTGATTTGTATAAATAGAAATAAATTCAATGTAATTTAAAACTTTAAAACCAAACAATAATTTAGCAAAAACTCTAATATTAAACACTAAACTTGGTTCCCTATGGGACAGGTGGGTCCGTACGAGGGTATCTGTATTGATGAAGATGTACTGATGGCCGGTATATACTGCACAGAGTGGCCAAAGACCTACGCATTGCCGTAACCTTTGACCCGAAACCCATACCCAATATTCCGGGCTCTGGCGCTCACATGAACTTCAGTACAGACAAAATGCGTGCAAAGGGAGGGCTGACTGAGATCGAGAAGGCCATCGAAAAGCTGAGCAAAAATCATAACAACACCTCTTCATATGACCCCCACGGGGGCTCCGATAACGCCTGGCCCCTAATTGGGTCCCAGTTTTACGGGTATAAATACGTTTACGTCAGGTGTGACCAATCGTGGGGCCAGTATTCGCATACAATAACGGGTGGCACAGGAGGGCAGGGGCTATATGGAGGACAGGCGACCGGCAGCTAATTGCGACCCCTATATGGTGGCCGAGACTCTCGTGCGCACCTGTCTATTGAATGAGTAGTTTATAAACTATTTTTGGAAAATACATTAATAATTAATTTTTATATTTAATGAATTTATAAGTTAAGTATATTTTATAAAATGGTCATAAATTTTCATTAGAAATTAATGTTTTAAAAACAGTGTTATATTTATAGTTAAAAACACAATTTGATTATAATTTATAATCTTTTTCAAGTCGTATAATAAACATTTGATTACAAAAAAACTTATTTATAACTGAAATGAACACAAAAATTGATCATAAATTACACGCAAGTGAATGAATAGTGATTTTTGGTATTGGTTTTGCACATAAAATAAAATTTAAAATTAATTTAATAATAACTGTCAAATAATTCATGGATATAAGTACCGTATATAAAATTGTTAACAGGGTGTATTATAAAGTAATTATAAAACTATTAATACCAGTACTGCATACGATAATACCGGTCACCATAAAAACATAACACTACACATGCTATTAGCACTGGTATATTGCAATAAAAACTACCGGTGCAGTTTAAACCCAGTGTCCACAGCATACCAGTTCTCTGGACTGGACACCCGGAACTACACCTCCTTATGTCTCGCAAAATGTTTTTGCATATTAGATTTCTCGGTGAACGCCTTCTCGCAGCCCTCCCACGTGCAGCGGTAGGGTCGCTCAGCCCTATGATAGCTCATGTGCCTACGGAGTGCCTCACCGACCAGGAATCGCTTTGAACAGCCGTCCCAATCGCACACAAACTTCTTTTCCTTAGTATGACGTAAGGAATGCCTACAAAAAAGTGACAAATTATTTAGTAATCAATAAAAAAATCACAAATTAATAGAGAAAACAACACATACACTGAAAGTCCGTTTTTGCGCGAAAAGCTGGACTTACAGCCCGGCCATTTGCACTTAAACTTCTTGATCGAGGGGTCGGCCGTGTGGTAGTCCATGTGCTTCCGTAGATTACTCACTGTTAATGGCATTTAAAGTACAATATAAATATAAAACATAATTAAATTAGAAGTTATCAAAGTTGTGAACTATTTCAAAATGCAAGTGTTTAGTGGACAGGTATGTGATGAGTACCTGTCTTAGTCTTATGGTCACATCCAGGCCACGTGCAGTGAAAGCTGCGCAGATCGTTGTGGGACAGGATATGACTGTTGAGCTCGGAGTTGGTGTAGAAGCGGTTCTCACACGAGGGCCACAGACACTGGAAAGGCTTATTACCCGTGTGTCGGAGCTTATGCTCTGAAATAGTATGCAAACAATTAGTCGAAGAGAGATCTATGAATAAACTGTTAACTGATTGCTTATAATCTGATAGCAAAGGGAAAGGCATCTGAGGGCTCGACCAGACCTCCGGATACCCCAAAAGTGGACACAACTGTGGAAAAGAAAA